TAAATTATCTGAATTCAAGAAGAATGCTGGATGTTTACAGTTGTGAGATAATTATGCCAGTTCAGCTACAGACGTTATCACGTGTATTTTCGACGGATACAGCGAAATGGAAGGTCTAACACATCAGGGTGAAAATCGTGTCGAGTACGTGGTCGCAGAGGTACGACCCCCCCCCCGAAATCGAGATCCTGGCACGACCCCCTCTAACAGAGCAAATTAATTCAATTAAAATAAATCCTGCAAAACAAATCAAAAAAAATCTGCAAAATAATGCTAAGGACGCTTCATCTTCGTATAGTATACATTCGTACGAAGTGCCCTTTTCCATCTCTCCGACTGGATTCTCATCAATAAGACAGAATTATTCATTTACGGCTTCTCCGGTTTCTGAACTGCATGTGATAGAAACGAAGATCAAAATACTTTTCGGACGTGCTAGGGCTAGATATATAGACAATATGCTGCTTTTGGAGCATAGTGTAGGCATAGTGTAGGCCGTTGAAAATTGTGCCTTAATCCTTACGAAAACTAGATAATTCAAACCAGTTTGTTTAGCACTAAATCTCAACATCTGTCCGGAATGTCATAAAGACGCAGGAAGGCACCTTTATGACCACTTGTTCACCGTGCACGGATACTCGAAATATGATGTCGAGAAAGCGAAACAACAAAAACGCAGATGGAAGTTATTTTCGACAGCCAGTCCCTCTTACATTTGCAACGTATGCAATCTTCCCTATAAAACGAGGAGAGCTCTTCTACAGCACAGAAAGGAGAAGGAACATTACAGCGAAGATGGGGAAACGTTACAGCTGATTTTATGCCCCTTATGCGATGAACATGTTCAGGTGCGTTCACGACTTCCCCATTTTAACTCTAAAACATAATAGCTAATTGGTTCGGATACGAGTGGGAGGCGAATATGCCACGTTCATACTCTCTTTTTTCCAGGATCAAGAAGAGCTAATGAATCACGTCAGCCATGAACATGCGGCTTTTTTGAAAGCCAATTTCGGATTCGAAAAACCAAAGCTCGAAGTAAAGTTTGTCTTCTATCTTTTTGTCGAATGGCGTCTTGTTTCCCAAAAACAAAAAGAAAAAAAAAAAGAAAAAAAAATCAAAAAAACAAAAAGAAAAAAAGAAAAAACTGTGTGTGCCTTGTTTCTGTTGTTTTTTTTCTTCTGTAAATAGAAGGTAATTCTATGAAGTTTTTGACTAGTGGAGCTTAGAGATATTAGACTGTGTTTTCTCACTAGCCGGCAACTCCTTATGGTTATTGCTTTAGGTGTTTTTTGGGTTTTCAGGATTCTTGTATCATTCTGTCCATCTCCTACCGTTAGCGGAATAGCGAAAAGCTTCTTAGGTTTTTGTCGTCATGCAAATAATGTAGAGGTAGAGTAGCAGGGTACTTTGGGCTGCGTAGATTTTGATTACGAGCTTTAGGCTGTTACCTGTGTAATTGCAGTCTTTTTGCTACACCTTTTTAAGCGAATGAATCCACTCATTATACGGCACGCACCCCGCGAGAAGTTGCTGAGTTTCTTTTTTTATTTCTGGAAGAATAAGGCTCTTTGCAATGGCATTTCTCGGCTATCTTGTAAGGAGTCTTCGTGCAGCAACAGCTTAATTGATAATTGAAGGGGATAATATCAAGCGCTGGAATGTTTTCATATGATCACGTTCATTTCAGCATCAACAACCTGGGATGAATTTTGGCCATGTACTGTGTCCAGAATGCGGCAAATCATTCAAAAAGGAACATATTGGCGAGCACGCCATTTTCGTTCACAACTACACAAATCGGGAGCGACAGGTTCTTTTGCTTCATCTCGGCGTAGAGCTTACCACTCCAGTTCCTGAGCTCTCATTCAAATGCGAGCACTGTTCAAAAGGGTTTGGAAGGAAGCATGATCTCAATATACATCTACTCAACCAGCACTCTTACAATCCATCGACCTCGGTGGGGAATGCGTGCCCATGTGGTTTTGATGGGTGCAGGCATAGTTTCAGTAGTTATGAAGACCTTGCCACTCACTGTGCCAGGATGCACTCCAAGGAATCTGGTCAGCAATTCGAAATAATCAACGTGTCGTTCAACAGCAAGAAAGATTTTCTGGTGAGTCATTTTTGAGGTTTTTCATGCGTCGTAGAATTCGGTTGCTTTTTTAGTGTTTTAAATTCCTTTTGTACTGCAAAAGATCCAGTATCCTCTTATTTTATCGCCTATCGCGATGAATGAGCCCAGATAGCGACGTAACAACGCCGATATCGGCAATGACCGCGAGGCTGAAAGCTTCAGCAATGAATTTTTGACTTGTTTTTGTTTGTTAACTGCTGTTTTTGGCCGCAGTTCGCCTTGCGAATGTTTCACAAGAATGCTGGGTTGTGAACAAAACTTTCGCCCCAGGCGGGACTAGAACCCGCACCTCTCGCCGGGCAAGTGCGCTACCAGTTACGCTACCGGGGCACCATTTCATTCCAACTCAGCTCTTCATGGTATACTCACCATAGCTTGTCAGCACTCACACGTCAGTTTTGTTCACAACCCAGCATTCTTGTGAAATAGTGAAATTATTGAAAAGGTTTTGATGACTTGAAAAAAAATAAACACAAAGTGCTGAGGCAGGCAGGACGTACAAGGGGCTGTTATCAATTGTTAAAGTTGCCCTAAAAAAAAAGAGTTTCATAGCATCAGCAAAATGATTGGAATGTCTTGAAGCGTTGAAGGGTTGCTTGCTGAAGACAAGTGTGCTAGTTGCTGTGCAAGCACACATTGTATCCTCAAACGAATTCGTTTGAAATCTAGATACTTTGCTGTTGGCAGTGCCTCTGAGCTAAGGCTCCATTTTGTGTATAGAATGTCAGTAATTTGTGGAGATAGATGCCAGCCACACTCGTGTGATTATATGCATATGCCACAAAATGCTTCAGAACTGGAAGCACGACGTTGAAAGGAAGACTGGTGCCTTATTCCGATTCCGTTGCACAAGCAAATATCAAACGGCAGTATATGTATGTGCCACTACTTTTACTAACCTGTCGAATGATGAGCAGGAATCTTCGCCGAAAAAAGCCAAAGTTTCTGAGCAGTATTGCACTGCTTTCATAAAGGTAGGCTACCTACTAATTACTGAGCCTACGGGCCACACTTCCTCCTTATTTCAAGTAAAAAGTGGTGGAGTCCTTGCTCGAGAACTTCATCGGGTCTGGGGATGTTGCTTTAAGAACATCATCAAATGACACCCCATTTTATATCGCTTGAGACTGGTCTTTTTTAGTGCCGACCTAGAAGTGACGGTACAGTTGAAGCAATAGGTTGCTTGGAGCACACTGGTCATGCTGAAAATCCATGTTTGGATGAAGAACAGAAGGATGAAGCGTGTCGACTTCTCGGTGATTCTCTGCATGCACCTACTGTCACTATAGTCAGGAAATTCTTCTCCGCTATTATGACATACTATTAGGTCGCAACGAAAAGTAATGGCGGATTCGACCCTCGATTTCAAAAGCTCATATTTTTCTTTGAATTAAACTTTATTCCGAATAATAATTCCCACAAGTACCTACACAGGCCGCCATCGGTCTACAAGGGAACAAGTGCCCCACCTTCAAAATTCGGCAGGTTTCGAGTCGAAGAAGTGCCCATGTCCGCTTTCAACAACTGTTGACAAATGTCGTGCTTTTTACCCTTTGCGAAGTGAGCCAGGAAAAGGAGCGGGTGGTAATCCGTAGGCGCAAGACCTGGCGAATATGGAGGATGGGGTAAAACCGCAGATCCAAGTTCCGCCAATGTGTCCTGGGTTACCCTTCCAGCATGTGGTCGCGCGTTGTCATGAAGAAGAGGGACTTCGTCCAGCTTCGGGCGACGTTTCGCGAATTCAGCCGCGAGCCTTCGTGGTTGTGAGCAGTACACCTCAGCGTCGACGGTGGTATTGTCTGGCATCTCGTAATGATGTTCCCCCGAACACTCCACCAAACTGACAGAGGAACTTGGGTAACCTCCTCTGTAACGCCTGGCTTCTGACGCCCATCCACTGTCTTTCTCTGGCATGACGGACGTAGAGCTCCCACCTTTCATCTCCAGTAATTACATTATCCAGCCCAGTCGAAACGGCGACTTCTTGCAAGAAAACCTCTGCACACCCCGATACCTCTTTCCTTGCAATGCTCTGTCAGCTCATGAGGGATCAATCGACCAAGTTTCTTAACTTTTTCCAGCTTGTGGTGAACACGACCTGTGGCCATGTTGAAGCACTGCATCTCCTTTGCCAGCTCCTTGGCGCTTGCATGCGGAAAGTCTTGAAGTAACAGCTCCAAACGTTCGAAATTGACTTCCGTTGGGCGTCCATCTTCGAGGTTGTAGTTTCCTTCGCGGAACCTTCTGAACCAAAGTTGGCAGGTTTTTCACTTACCACTCCCTCTACTTCTCCAGAGCATATTTTGCAGCAGGCTCGCTTGCTGGGCCCAGACAAAATTCGCAAAGAAGTCAGTGGGGGACATGGGTAGAAACGTATGGCATTTTCCAGGCTCCAAAAAGCGTGCAGGAGGTGAGACTCGAGAATATGAAGGAATATCACCACTCCTGTATATGGTTAAAAATTTTCCCCTCCAGGTTAATGCGCAGCCGTTTGTGAGGACTTTGAAAAAATGCGCCAGGACTTTCGTTGCGACCTAATATAAGTCTAGGAAAGCGGCTGTAGGTCACGAGGCGCTTTTAGTCACTCATTTCACATTTCGTTTTTTCTTCCACTATAGTCATTTCAAATCATTTTTGCACCTTAAACTTGCTTGTCTGAAAATAGTACGCGTACGGGTCTGAAATTGAAGTAGTCCGTCCATGCTAAGTCGTAAGGTTCTCCGGGATCACCTAGCTATCGACAGGATATGAGTACGGAATTGGGTAAATCCTATCATTGAACTACTTATATTAAGTCTAACACTCCATCCAGACATATTAATATTCGAGTTTAGACCAAATGACTCCACAGAAGCTGTCCTTCCATTTGCGAACCCCGTCAGGACGGACCCACTGAAAGACGAAATATCTCGAAAAAAGCGAGAGATGTGGATGCCCGACACTGCGCGCCATAGAGATTTGCTTAACACGGGACACTGTCATGGAATTCGCATATCCAGACCATTTATAATCACATTGTCGGATGTAAATGGTGTAAAGAGAGAATGCAAATTTTGAATTCGTGCTCATCAGTTAACACAGCTTCCCACCCTCAAGACGGTCTCTTGTGTTAGACCTGTGAACCATAAAACACAGCTCGTACATCGGCGCCGCCGCAAGATTGTGAAACCAGTCGCAGCAAACTCCACCACTATCAAAGCGAGAACGCGTGCGCATTCTAAAAGCATAAAATAATCGAATGACTTTGTCCCTTTATCCTTTGGTTGCTTAAACACTCAGAATATTAGTACCATGTCTACAATGCGACTGTCTGGCCATTTCGGTCCTCGAATAACCGCAACCATACGAATTGCCGTTGTGAATGAGACTTCGATCGTGAGCAATCAAATCTGCTCCATAACAACACCGATCTTCTTCGCCTCACTTAAGTGAACGCTTTGGAGTGAGTGAGCTCTTCTGTCAAGAGAACTGTGTGGCCGTATCTCGACTAAACACGTTTTTCTTTCAACCTACCTCCACCCACACTGTATAACTTTACATTCGTCCGATGGACCGGCAATTAGGCTTCACCATCCTATAGATTTCACTGCATTCTTTGAAGCGCTCACCCTTGAAAAGGATTGATAAGTAATAGAGAGTAATGCATTCGTGGCCTAGGTTCAATATAACAGCTTGTTCATTCTTTGCATTGCTTCTACGTTCGGCGGCGCAGATACATCGCAGAGAAGAGTCAGCCGATTTATAGCGGCCCTTGCTGGGCGTTGAAATTTCGAGGTATTTTGACATTTAGCAAAGAATACTGTCCCACTATAACAATTCCGCCTGGGCCCCGAGAGCTGCGCCTGCCGCAGACCGTGTAATGGTTCAACCCTTCTTGTGCTTTTTTAACTTTGCGAAGTTTTGTGAACCTTATTCGTGCACTAATCAGACGAGGTTCACAGGTTGTGATGAATTCTTTCTTCATTGCATGTCACAATCCGAACGGACGGGTCGTTTTTATGACTAAAGAAGTTAGAAGAAAGGCAGACCGCTCTCCGGAAGCGACTTGGCTTGCAGCTCCTGCTTTGAACTTTTGAGACCACAAATCAGTTACGCTCAATTCAGAACCGCATTCTCAACAGTTTCAAGCACATTTAGTTCTATCGCATCTTTCAGCGAGCTTTTACCAACATTCTTTATCCAACAGCCACTCTCATCACCTTCGGGGCTCTCGCCATCCCCAAGCCAAACTATCGCTGCACAGCACATTTTTTCGAATTGCGAGACTAGACAAATAATCCAGATCGTGAGCCGATTTTGCTCTTTTCTTCACTATCTCGAGTCGGATAAACAAAATTGTGCAGAATTGCTTGCTGAGCAAGTTGTATTCAAGTCCTTGAAAGGGTATGAATAGTCTTTGTAGAGCAAAGCAAGGTATTATCCTTGGATAGAGCGATGAACGCGATCCCTAATAATATGTAAGATGTGGCAGTTTCCCAAAACATTGATCGGAACTGAAGTATTGAACTGCAGAACGGTAAGAACTTCCCCTGCAACGTGATAGATAAGTCTTGGTGGAGTTGCAGAAGCTTGTAAGGGGAGAAATTCTTTTTTAGCAAAGACAGATAGTCAGATTGGATAAAAATGGTGGCGTTGTGGAAAGAACAAGAACAGTCATTGGTTTTTCCAGACATATCATCCGAATGGCTCTGGAGACGGCTCACTCAAGGCGAAAACCCCTGTACCAGAATCCATTTTCTGTCCAATATGTCAGCTGATGTTCAGAACGAAATACCAGCTGGCCGTGCACTGTGTTACCTTCCATGGAAGCTTTTCAAACAATGCATTCATTGTTCAGACGTCGTTTAGCAGCTGGGCGCAATTTCAGGCAAGGATTCCCCTTTAACATGCTTTCTATACTTCAGAAAAGCTTAAGATATCCGCAGATACCTTTTCTGAATATTTCTGTTTTATATTCAAGTTTATTCTTGTTATTTTATATTCCGAAGTTCCTAGAACTTATGAAAAAAAATTAAGAAAAGTGGGAAACTTGGTTGTGGAAATTTTCTTCTGCTAGATTGGATACACTGAGATGATATACAAATTTGACGAGAAAGTTGTGTTTTACTTTTTTACGGACTTTAATGAGTTACTTCCAATTACAAAATTCAATCATTGCTCTTTGAGTTTCTTTTTGAGTGTTTTAAGAAAGTTATCTGCAGTATTAGCAAAAATAATATCGAGGATAAATTGCACCATAAAAAAAAGGTCTAGCGTGTCAGGATGTAAGCAAACCAGCCCTTTTGGCGTTTCGG